AATTGATTAAGGTTTAGTTATTGATCATCATATTGTTTAGGACTCAACATTTATACGACTCACATTTACTAAATTGTCCTTATTTTATGAATCTAAAGGCTCTTTTGTGCCTATGTAATACTCTTTATTTGATATATGATAATAACCAGAGCAATCTTATTTCTTATATTGTAAGTATGCATAAGATGGCGTAAAACAGCAAGATTAAAAAAATAACTTTTCGTCGAATGCCTATGTGACACCACCTTGCTCAATCTATCATGACCTAACTCAATTTCTCTTCTCCTGGGTACCACTTATCCTGACTTTTGTTAATATTTTTTTTTCTTTCTTTTATAGTGGCTTTTCATTTATGTGTACCTAGGATTAGGATTGTTGGGTAGGGAGTAGGCATATTTTTCAATTTATTAGAAAAAGCCCAACATTTTCCACAGGGATTGTACCAATTTGCACTTGTGTATGAGATTTCCCATTGCTCCACATCTTCACTGACACTCAGTTTGGGCCTTAAATATTTTAATGAGAATAAGCACCTTTTAATATATTTATACATTATTTGTATGTCCTATTGACATTTTCTATAATTTTGTAGAAATTATTGATATATGTGTGTGTGTGTATACACACACACACACACACACATATACACACACACCCACACACACACACACATATATATATATACACACACACACACACACACACACACACACATATATATATTTATAGTATTATTTGTTTCAAGTTCTGGTACATTCTCCTCTGTGGCTTGCCTTTTCTTTCTCTTATGGTGTATTTTTATGAAAAAAGTCCTTAATTTTAATGTAGTGAAATTTATTATTTTTCTTAATATGTAATGCAGTTTGAATCAAATTCTTATCTAGCCTGAGATTTTAAAAAATTATGCTATATTATCTTCTAAAACAATAATGGTTTTGTTTTTTATAATTTAACTCTTAAACAACTTAGAATAGATTATTATATGGTGCAAATTTGAAGTCAGTTTCATGTTTTTCCATGTAAATATTTATTTTTCCCAACTCATAGTTAATGAAAAGATAATTATTGTAAACAAATATCTCCCATGCTACTCTGTCATATACCAAGTGACCATAGATTCATGGTTTATGTCTGGGCTCTCTAGTCTATTCTTTTAGTGTGTTTGTTATCCTTGGGTCAGTACCACAACACTTTAATTATGTGGTGATAATTAAAAATAATTTGTGCCCTAACTGGTTTGGCTCAGTGAATAAAGTGTTGGCCTGCTGACTGAAGGTTCCAGGTTCGATTCTGGTCAAGGGCATGTACCTTGGTTGTGGACACATTCCCAGTAGGAGGTGTGCAGGAGGCAGCTAATCCATGTTTCTCTCTCATCAATGCTTGTAACTCTCTATTCCTTTTCCTTCCTCTCTGTAAAAAAATCAATAAAATATTAAAAAAAATAATTTGTATTAAGTGGTCTTACCTTTTATTTATTTTTTAAAGATTATTTTTGCTCTTTTTTTTTCTTTTCACTTCTGTGCTTCAACTGGTATTTAGATTGAACTCCTCAATTTCAAAAAACAAAACAAAAACTATTAGAAATGTTGAATGGGATTGCACTCAATCCATAGATCAATTTGAGAAAATTAACATCTTTACAATATTGAGTTTTACCAAAAATGGCTTGCCCACTACCTGTCTATATTTTCCTTTGTAATATATTTTAATATAACATTTCTGATTTCTCATCAGGTCTTACATATTTTTGTTAAGGTTCTTTCTAAGTATGTTGTCCTAAGCAAGGGCACTGTAAATGTTATCTTAAGTTTTATTTTTTCATACTCTTGCTGGTATAAGAATTTTTATATATGGATTTTAAATCAAGCAACCCTACTAAACTCACATATTAAATCTAGAGAATTTTGGAATTTTTATTTTCCTATATATGTACATGTGTATGCCATGTGTTCAGGAGCATATTTGTTTTCTTTTTTCTTGTCTTACTGCACCTGATAGTTCTCTTAGGAAAACAAAGAATAAAAGTGTAGTTATATGTATTTTTGTGTTATGCTGAACCTTCTAGGAAAAATATTTAAAAGTATAATATTTGATATAGATTTTAAAAATTAATATACTATAGAATTCACTTTTTTTCTTTTTGGTATACTCTAATTTTTAACCCATGTATTGATTTATGTAACCACCATCATAGTCAGGATAGAAAATAGTCATATAACACAAATGGCCCTTTTTGTGCTGACTTTTTACAAATATATATATACTAGAGGCCAGGGGCATGAAAAATTGTGCACGGATAGGGTCCCTAAGTCTGGCCAGCTATCAGGGCCAATCGGGGCCTTCCAGATACTGGCTGCAACTTTTCTTCTGGCTACTGGCTAGGGCCTTCCTTCCCTAGCTGTTGGCTGCCTGCCAGGGCCTTCCTTCGTTCCATACCACCCCCTTAGTTGTCAGTGCACATCATAGCGAGCGATCAAACTCCCAGTCTCCTGGTTGAACTCCCGAGGAGACAATTTGCATATAAGCTTTTAGGTAGGTAGGTAGATAGATAGATAGATAGATAGATAGATAGATTTTTATTGATTTCAGAGAGAAAAGGGGAGGGATAGAGAAATAGAAGTATCAACGATGAGAGAGAATCATCAATTGGCTGCCTCCTACATACCCCACACTGGGGATCTAGCCCACAACCTGGACAGGTGCCCTTTCTGGGAATCAAACAGTGACCTCCTGGTTCATAGGTTATTGCTCAGCCACTGAATCATGCCAACCAGGCTGACTATTTTAAAAAAATATGATATATTTATTTCAGAGAGAAGAAAGGAGAGAGAGAGAGAGAGAGAGAGAGAGAGAGAGAGAGAGAGAGAGAGAGAGAGAGAGAGATCAATGATAGGAGAGAATTATCAATCAGCTGCCTCTGCTGGGGATCGAGTCTGCAACCCAGGCTTGTGCCCTGACTAGGAATGAAAGTGTGACCTCCGGGTTCATGTGTTGATGCTCAGCCACTAAGGCACACCAGCTGTGCTGTGCTGACTCTTTGTAGTCAAACCTTCTCTCATCTCTAACCTCTAGCCACTTCTTCTCTGATCTGTTTTCATTCTATGGTTTTGTCTCATCCAGAATGTCATATAAATTGAATTAAACAATAGTCAGTCTCCTGAGACTGACTTTCTTCATTCTACATAATGCTTCTGAGATTCATCTATGTTGGTGTATGTATTAATAGTTCATTCCTTATTATTGCTGAGTGTTCCATTCTATCGATATACCACAGCTTGTTTATACATTTACTCATTGAATTATCTGTGTCTTCTGGCTCTGTAACTTACTTAGTTTCTTCTTTTATACTGAGGAAAATGTACCCACATCATAGGATTATTGTGGGGATGAAATGAGAATACATGTGAAGTGCTTAGGTAACATCTGGTACATTGTTAGTATTCAATAAATATAATTCATTATTATTGTCCCCAATATTAGTAAAGATTTTTGAGGTAGAAAAGAAGTTGATAAGTTCAACGAATAGTAAGAAAGCCAGTGTGCCTGGAGTGTGATGAGCAAGGAAAACAAGGGAAGAGGTATGTAGGAATCAGGTTCCAAAGGGCCTTATGGGCTGTAGTAGGGAGTTTGGATTTCAGTCTGTGTGCAGCAGAAACCCAGAGATCGGTGGTAATCTGGTCCATGCCTTTAACAGATCATTCAGGCTGCTGTGAGGAGGATGGGTTTTGGTGGTGGTGAGAGAGAGCAGGTAACATTTTCAGGTTACTTCAGTGGTCCAGGGAAAAGATGCTGGTGGCTTGGACCATAGTGGTGGTTGTGGGATGGTAGAAGTGGTTTGATTCAGGGCATGGTATCGATGTAGACACCTCAAAATTTGCTGGCGGATTCCCAACTCAGTGGACCACATTCCCCATAAGAGCAGTGGTGTAACTAGTCATAATTATCAACAGCAACACTCCTCTTGTTATGGCTTTACCAAAGATTTCCCGCATCCACTTTGGAACTGAAACCTAGCCTTTCATTCTGAAATTCACTTGAAGAAATAGCCTGTCTTTTGGCACATCTTGAAATGACATCTAACTGACATTTTTCTTATTCATACTCATAACCCAGACCCATTTGTAAAAAACTGGCTTATGCCACAAAAACGTTTTCTCACAGCATTTTGCTCTGTGGTTCTCTGCAGCCTACATAGTTCTGTGACCCCACATACTTAGCCTTATTGCTGGGAATCAAGTTGTCATAGCTGCTTCATGCTTAGCCAGGGAATGGCCGTTTTAGTGGTTGGCTGCAGTTCCTGTGTACACTTGGGACTTATTGTTGGAATAAACATTATTAGACTCAGACTAAAATTGGACCAGGATTTTATTTTTGTCCTCCTTTCAACTTCAACTTACCCTACATTCTGTTCTCTCACCCAAATGACAAATGGTCTTGACTTTCTGAAGTTGATCTAAAGATTAAAATCAGCCTTGGGTGCTTGCTTAGCCTTGCATTCAAATGGAAAGGGGAGTGAATGGGGGAGTTAAAAATTGAATTCTCTGATCTCACATAGAAAGTTTTATTTCCTGTGTGTCTGTTCTTAACACATCTGTATTTGTTCTCTGTGGGGCCTTAGCTTCCAACTCCTCCTTAAAGACAAACCCTGACCCAGTCTTTATCTGGAACACTCATCAAGTTTTTTTTTTTTTTTTTTTTTTTTTTTTAACCCTCTCCTATCTGCCTAATTTGGAGCTTATGATAATTCAAAGTTTGCTAAATGGAAAGAAATCTTCCTTTTATCCTGAGCTCCTTGTTCTGTTTTGTCTCAGTTTGCAACATCTCTTGTCAAGTGAATATCAAATTGTGGCATTTATTTCCTCAGATGTGTGTGTGTCTGTGTGTGTGTGTTTCAGTAAGTTTACTTGTAGAAGCACCTCTGGAATCTTGGAGACGCTCACTTGGAATTTTGTGTATCATTTTGTGCTTCTTTGTAATTGGCTTCTTTTGTGTTCTTGCAGAATATCAAGCTGCTATTTTACACTTGAAGAGGGAGCACAAAGAGGAAATTGAAAACCTACAGGTATGTCTCTTTGATTCTATTGAACTGGTTACTGAGGCTGATTCTTAGTTTTCTCATGTGCTGAAGTAAACATGTCCCCTTTGAAGGCATATTTACCTGGACAGCACCTGCAGCTAGCACCTGCCAGTGGGCACTGAGTCTGCCCTGGGGATGAAACCCTTGGACTCTGTTTTTAATATAATTCAATTCTTATTTTTTAAAAATACCACAAATGCATTAGCATGGGGAAAGAATTTGATCAGGAAAAATGATGGGCTTATTTGTAAAGCAGGAAAGATGATGGTGTATTTAGCCTTTTGCTGTTTATAAGAAGTATTTAAATAGTTATTTTTGTAGGCACAGTGTAAATCATTTTGTTTGGCTTACTTCCACTCATGTGTTTGTATTTGTCTGCCTGTTAGCACATGCCTGCAATATGATGTCATGCAGATTAAGGCATTAAGGAAGTGAGCCTCCTAGGAGGAAGAGTTGTGTTGAGTTGTGTGTCCCCGGGGTGTGCTTGGAAATGGCTGGCTTGATCCTCCTTGGCGAAGCTCAGAAAGACTAAGGCCTCATTTCCTCCCACCATGTAATTGTCAACCTCTTATTTTTGGGGTTTGCTTGCTGTGCCTGTAATAGGAAGTTTCAGAGTCTTAATTTCAAATAAGTGAATATCGAATCAGGCACTGATTCTAGCTCACTGATGACTGGTTGGACTCTGTTCCTCAGGAGAGGACAGTAGCAAACTTTAAATAAAACTTGGTGCTTAGTGTTAACTGATTGCTTGTTAATTAAATAACATAGTAGATCAGATATTCTCCTTTTCAGTAAGTGATAATGCTGAAATAACTTTTACAATAACTCAGACAGTGTGTTGGAATATACATGAAGCAATTGCAAGTTGCAAAAAGATCATTAAGTCCTATGGTGTATAAATTCATGCCACCCCCATCCAGCTGGGTCTAAGTAGTTTGGAAGAGGGAATGAGTCTATTTCACAAAGAAATAAAAAGGTGGAAAAGTACCTCAGTCTCCTAAGGGAAAAAGAGAGGCAGAGGCCCTTATCTCCTTTGTTGCAAAATGCTCTACAGAGACCTCTCTTTCTTTATCTGTGTTCTGATGTGCAAAAGATTCTCAGCTGTCTCAGAGGAGCTGAACTGGGATTAATTTAAGAAACAGGTTGCTAACTCGAATAGGTACAGAGCGGTTCTGAGAGCAGAAATTTTATGTAACAATTTGGTTTTAAAAGTTAACACTAGCTTTCCACAGGCTATAGACCAGCCCTGTAGCGGACTTTGACCGCTCAATGATATTCATAGAAATAGCAAGCACTTACAGTTTTTGAGTTCTCACTTTGTGCTGGCCATTGTTTTAGACATTACATACTTTAGTTTGTGTCATCTCCATAAAAGTCCTATAATCTTCCATCTCAAATGAAGGGAAGCTTGGTGAAGGGAAAGAGAAGAGTAAATGGAAAAGAAAAAAAGTATATTGGAATTGTGATCTCTATTTAAAATAAAATCAGAACAAGGTATGACTGGCAAGAGTAAAGGTTAAAAAAATGTTTCTAGTTATATCTTAAGTGTTATGTATCTCTGAAAGAATTATCTGCTCTTTAAATGCTATTTTCAGTAAACTATAAGGAATATTTTTGTCCCATATTTGTGATTTATAACTAATTGCTGAAATCATATACCTGTGATTTATACCTAATTGCTATGGCATACCAAGGTCACCAGGGCAAGGCCCGGTGCCCAGTCTGTACAGTTAACTGTAGTCCAGAACTGTTTTAGCAGTCACAGATAACCCTCAACAGGAAACTGGCAATTCATATTCTAGTTTTTATTGGCAAACAGCATTTTAAAGATTGAATTAGGGATAAATATTTTAAAATATGCAGGGATTTCTAGCCGTTTTTATTTGTTTGTTTGTTTGTTTGTTTGTTTGTTTTAAAAGAAAATATGTCTACAGTGACTTATTTTCCTGTACGTCTTCAACCTGCAGGGGTTGAATAGCTGGTATCCACTTCAACTGGTACACTTGTTCTCTGGTTTGCCACTGTCCTACTCTGGGCCATTTCACTGGTCTGGTTCCTATATGCTTTCATTAACTCCTGTTCTTTGGGAGATCTTGAAAATACAGTAACTAGATTGACAGCATCACAACTAGTCTGCACAGAAGGTACGCATAAAACTGACAGTAACCTGGGCTGGCTGTCCTCATGGGCACCCCTGTTATATCACCTCTACCTGCTTGAGTCTACAAAGCAACGAAGTCACAGGAGCTGTGAAAGGCAATGAATGGCTGGGAGGACTGCTGTGGCGATGTCCATTTCTTAGTATGTGGTTTCCATTGGCAGCCTTCAATTGCCTGTTAGAGTTTCTTTATCCACTTATCACTCATGGCCAACCCAGCGTGTTTCAGGACTTCTTTAGCATGCCTTTCTAGAATAAGAAAGATTTCATGGGTAAAGGACTAGGGAAAAGTGATTAATTATGTGACCAAATACAAGAATTGACATGTATCACATATAATTTTTTGAATGTTTTCAGAGAGTTTAAAGAAACAACATGAGACCTTAAATTCAGAGAACCTTAATTGTTCAGTTCTCCAACCTGCAAAAGGGATTCTTACCACCTACAATAATTTGGTTGGAGGTTGACATTTTTAGCCCAGAGTCCCAAGTCTTGTAAGTGGGAGAGTAGGGATTTCCGAATCGCATGCCTGCCATTGCGAAGTGCTGTACTATAGAGAGGACACAGGGCTTAGTCTTGGTAACAGTTTTTCAAGATGTGTAACAAGTAACATACAGATTCCCCTTATAAAAAAGATAGGTTTGTTGTTTATGTGAATGAATCTATTTCAGGAATCTTAAGTTTTTATTTTTTCTACACAAAGTCAACTTAGCTGATTTTTCTATTACAATCTCTGGTAGGAGAGTGGTGGCCGGTTGAACTGCCATGACCTTTGAGGTGGGGTTCAGGTTCTGAAGGAGGGGCTGACGCACAAATGAAAATACAAGAAATATGAATTTAGAAGGCATTGGGGTCAGGTGGAGCCTCTTTCTTGAAGAGACACACCAAAACTAGGTCCTGTCTGCTTTTATTCAGTTTTAGGTACATATCTTGCCCTCAGTAAAGCACGGCAAACAGGTAGCAGACCTACCATCTCTAAGGTCAGTAAAGATCAGTAAGGTCCAGTAAACATTTACTTGGAGCCTATCAAGTCAGGAGATTGCTTCGAGCCACCACTGTCTCAACACCAACAATCAGTGCTTAATGTCAGCCCTGCAAACGCTCAGGGTCCATTGGCCTTCTGTATCCCTTGGTGCACTCTCATGATAGTATTGGCAAGCAGTGGCTTCCTGCATTGAACATTCCCTGTGGCTTCACTATTTTGTGTCATTGATAAATAGCCACAGCAAAATTACTAAATTTTGTCCAATTGGGCCCTTTCTTTAGCAAACTGTACCTTAAGAATTTATGATTCTTACTTCATGATCCTGGGCATCATCTGGTTCATTTTTAACTTTTAGATAATTCTGTGTTACTGATTTTAATTTTAAAACGTTACCATCTACCTTTATAGGTTTTCACTTATTTGAGAAGTTTTGCCTGTGGTAGCCATTACACGAGTTCATGATGATTGGGTAGAAACATAGTTCACGACTGCTGGGTAGAAACATACTTCAGAGATGCCCTTCAAAAGCATATGGTAAAACGAAATCTTTCATGCTACACATAGAGTTTTTTCTGAGAGCTTGCTTAGGAGCCACGTTTGAAAATCATCATCATGGCTGTTGTACAGGTTGTGTGGCTGTAAAGCTGAGATTTTACTTTATGCGTGATGAGAATGTGAAAGAACTCAGATCTTTGAGTTAGGGCTCAGTCCAGCTCCTTCCACTGTGACATTAAGAAATGAATCAACTTCTTTGGGACTTAGTTTTTCTCAGTTTTCACATCTGTACAATAATACTCACGCTGCTGCTGATAATGTCTTTCTAGGATTGTTTGGCACAGGGCACACCCAATCATACTGGTTAAGTGTTATTTCTCATTCCTTTTCTCTGCACAGATCTCCTTATGATTAAGCAAGATTGAGTTTAGAGTGATCCTCGGACTCTCTTGGTTGAGGACTTCCTTGGGACATTTGACTTATTCTTTTAGGATGATTTTTCCATGATCTTTCAGCTGTTCTCTGCCTATGTGCTCTCTATCAGGATAGTTTATGCCAGGTTTCCTGAAACTCATTCAACTGAACTGGAAGCCTCTGAAATGCTTATTGATAAGAAGATTTCATGGTTGTATAAGTTTGAGAAATATCTGATTCTCCTTTTGGGTCTTTACCATATATAGAGAAGAACTACAAGAGAGAAAATTGTATAACTTGTTTCCCACATAATTCCCCCCTCCCCCAAATAACCTATGTTTTGGAATACAATTCTAAGTTAATTTATATAATCTTATCATTTCAATGTAAGATTTAAGTTAAGCTCTTGAAATGGTTTCAGCATCATGTTCATGCCAACAAGGCCACACACCCTGGGGGAGCAGTGGTGTTTGTCTCTACATCTCTTCAAAGTGCCTACCAAAGTGCTTGGCATATAGATGACATGCAAATACTTCTTATATAACAACTTGTGATTGAAAAATAATAGAACTGAACTTTTTCTAAAAACAAGTTTACTTTGTTATTATTTTTATTGATTTCAGAAAGGAAGGGAGAGGGAGAGGGAGCCTAGGATGGGTAGGGCTTCTTTGGCTCTCTGCTTCCTCAACTTTGAAAGTTGAAAAATAACCTGCATACCCCTTGTCTGGCTTTGAGCAGCTTTGGATAATTTAAGAATATTGGTTTTTGACCAGTACTTTAGGCAGTTTGGAAATAAGTGCCATGGAAATGACAGATTGTTTTTATCTGTTTTTAATTAATGTTCTTTGGGTTGTGGGATAGAAGACAAAGGACTAGCCAACAGTGACATTTCCTTTAGAGGAACCTTTTCCTTGTACCCCATTCATCATAACC